GGCAATATCTTGTACCTGATAAGTTTGAGTAATCTCACTACCTGTTTGTGGGATAATGTATGGATATTATGAGAAGTTACATGTTAATCATTTTTGGGAGTTAAAGGGTTAATAGTTATTCAGTATTAATTTATCATTATTTACAATATTTTACCATTATTTACGGTGATCAGGAACACACGCTGAAACATGTCATTCACTATCCATGCTTTTTCTTCCTCATTTATCTGGGCATCATTTTTTGTATTGGGTTTTGAATCATTGTCAATGATTCCTTTTGCTGAAACATTTGGTGCTGATGTCTTTGAAGAGTGTTTTCTGAACTCTTCTGCCTCTTCAACTGATCGAAAGAGGGCTGCAAAGGGGTTCTGGTCCATGGTAACCAATTCTTGATATCTGATTCAAAAGGCAGCAACTAATCCCTAAAAATGGAATCATAAATATAAGTTTAAATCTGCTCAATCCTTTAACTCCCAAGATCTCTTTAGTAATTCTCCTTACTGTTTGCCATACAATTCTCATAATGTTCATTCTAAGAACTTGGTGTTGGATCAATTAGTAATCCCTTGATGGATATTTTTCTATATTCTCATCACTTGTCTGCTTGATACTGTTTTGATATTGTAAGGAGAAATTCTGCCTTGGTCAATCACAGGATTTACAGGGTAAAAGGTTTAAATGACATTACTAACTTGGCAAAGAAAGATAGTATCATCTGTTTTGGAATCAAGAGCTGTGTTAGTTTAAGTCTAAAGATCTTGATAAGTGTCACCACTCTAAGGGAAGGGTTAACATGCATGTTGCAGACTCCTATGCTAGTCTGGGTTTATATTTTAATTCCTACCGCAAAGCATAACTAGAATCAGTGATTTTTTCCCCTCAGTGGAATGTTAGCCTCTTTCTAGAATGTCTTTAACAGAGCTGTTGTTTCTTAGTGACAAATTTAAAATCCATTACGATCACTGACAGTAACCAGACATGTTTGATAAAACACAAAAGTTGTTGTCACAAATGGAAAATTACATAATAATGAATAAGACCAGCATGCTCACCCCAAAGCTGACAGGAAGCCTATAAAAGTTTACAAGGTGACAGTACGTGGCAAAATTTTGATAGGATTACGAGGAAATTTTATGTCTCTAGTTATTTAACTGCAAAACATGATATTCGTTCACCTAACTTCTCTTACCAATATAAATACAATTACCAGAAGTCATGTGATGAGAATGACGCACTCGTTTAAAATTTGTTCTCCTGATATAAATCCAAATTCTTCTTATTTACAAACAAGGAAACACATGACACATAGCTAGAGGGAAAATTCTCTAATCACCTTTTAGGAGTGCGTCGAACTCGAATCATAGGATTAATGATGGTAAACGTTCATTACTTCATCTCAAAAATAAAACAAAACAAAGCACACAAATTTTCAGATTATTTCAACGCCGTTCTTTATATCTTAATAATAGGTCAGCACCGCTTCTATACAAGTGGGCCAATACGTTTCCACGAGAATACTTATTAAAATAAAACATCACGTAAACAAGTTGTGTTTAATTTAAAGAAAACTATGATTAAATGTAAACAACTTTTCATTTCATTACCTTTAGATCCTTGAGGAGCTGTTCATCTACCACATTTTGCGGAGAAATCGCGTAGAAACTCAACGACCAAGAATAACCTGAAATAAATTAAGGACGGATGCGCACCTACGCTTTAGAGTCACTTCACTGCATCGTCATGTTAAGATGACTCAGAGTTTCTTGGAAGTCTGAGTACTAATTAGATACCGCTGATCAAGATTGAAGACTTGGTCCTTGGTCTGTACTTCATAACTCAGCTTACATGACGTAGTTACGACACTCACCCCTTTTCAAGATGGAGAAGTTATCGAGATAGGTGATGCGGAGAATTTCAGGTGCAAATGTTTGGCCAAGCTTCGCTCCTTCTTATAAAAGGAAATGATTACTCTCGCAAAGAAAATTAAGGAAGAGCGGGATAAGAAGGAAAAGGGCGATCACGGGACAGGAAACACGAAAAGCGGGAGAACATCTATACGTGACAAATTGCTAACCAAAGGTAGAATCTAGAAACTGTTACGCAGTTTGTTCATGTACACCTTTTGCGCCATAAAATGATTAAATTAACGTCCCCCCAACATTAATTGTTGAAAAATGGACCTGATTTTTAGCTTTTTTCAGCTTTTATCTCGGTATATGAACAATTTTCCCTTTAGTTTTTTCTTACGCTTTCCTTTTTCCGTTTTAAGAAGTGACAGAACTCGAGGAAAATGTACCGGGTGAGTTAATAGCTACAAATATATTATATTTATTATTGCTGCGTTTGTTTTAAACATGAAAATGTGGTTATTGCCTGCATATTAGAAAATCCACTGCTACAAAGTTGTAGTTTGATTCATTTTGTGTTTAAATCTTTTGACGTTAGCACTCGCATGTATACTTACTGACTATAATTTTCTTTGCTCTGGTTAACATTAAGAACGAGTGCTGGATTATGTTTTATGGTATAACTTGGCTGTTATGTAACCTACACTCGGGGTTTTTAATGAGAAATATAGAAGCAGCTGAATAGTGTAAAGCAACATCAGAATTTATTACATAACGGTTCTGCATTTGAATTGTAAATTTCTCAGGCCATCGAAAATCAGCTGGAGAACTCTTCAACCTCCCTCGTTAAATTGGCACCCTAATTGCCTACTGGTTTTTATGAGTGCATCAAAGCACTGAAATCCTACTTACACCGTTTTAAAAAAAGTGTTGCTGTCATTATGATTTTTAAGTCAGACATACAAATTTATAGGACTGGAGAACTTTTTGTGAATAGAGAAGATCATGCTAAACTGTGGATAGAAAATTCTTCTTTATCCTTAAAATAATGATTTGTGATTTAATCAGTGAAAATACTGCTTTATGTTTATACTTTACAGAGCCAGGTTTAGACGTTGATTTGTGAAAAACTTTTTAGTGCATTTAAGTCAGCACTGCACATGATTTGATGTTTTTTAAGAATAAACATTGCAAGAATTTTTCAAATAAACCTTTTTCTTGTATTTTCCTCACAGAATCCTGTCAAGTTGACTTTAAGGATCCAAACATTCTTCATGAGTTCACTCTGACTGTAACGCCAGGTTAGAAAATGAAAGTTTTCTTAAGTGCTGTGAAGGCTCTCTCCAAATTTTCAACACCAATGATATCATAATGTTTTGCAAATGAAGGCCACATAACCTGGTCCACTTGAGGCACTAACCTTTTGACCCCTAAGAGTGACTGGCATCTAATTTCTCCTTACCATATCAACCCTGAATCACATATTAAGGTCGCAAGAATAAAGAAAATAATCACCAACTAAAGAGGCTCTTGATTGTTAAATTCTCCAGGTCAGCAGCTTATGAAATGTATAGAGAACAGTATAAAGAATATGCATACAGATGTAAAGGTGTAAAGGGTGAAACACAAGCAAAGTGGTCCAAACTACAAGATTTATCCTGGTTTCCATAGCATTTCTGGGCCCCTGATGGATGGGGTGTTAGCTATTTTAGGTTACTCCCATGTCCCTGCCTCAGCTCCCTCTACCTTTTATCAGAGTTTCCTCACTCTATGCAAGTACACATTCACACCCCTGAGTAGAGCCTGGTCCCCTTGAATTGTGAAAATTAACTTTAGGCTTGTCTTCTAGTAGCAGATCCATAAGAATGCAAGCAGCCTTTTTTCTTACCATTTGTATTATTTGCATTGCATTCAAATGAAGCATCCCACCAACTAGACAAGCTTCCATGTGTAACCCCTAAATTCAGTGGTGATTGTGTACAACCTCTTGAGGTTTCAATATATTCTGTTACAAACAGTTTATGAGAACAAACAAACTTATCAGCTAATAAACAATTATTTCATGATTGAGTGTTGGATATGAGATGATACATGTAGATAGCCAACAAGGCCCATAGGCCTGAGGTGGCTATAATCATCTCATATCCAATAAGCGCCAGTGGAATAATTGTTTTATGAAAAATGCCCCCCCAAAAAAAGATAAAGCTCTCCAACTTTATTTTGTAAACTTTATTAATTTTTTTTTTTTGAGTTGTACACTTTCTTTATTTGTAGAGCATGGTATAATGGCTCATAACCCTTGATGGCTAAGCCAATGAAAACTCTAGAATTGCATTATCCAATGATCCAAGAAAATGAATGACACTGATACGGAGAATTAATGTTGGGATCGGGAGAATTAAAAAAAACCTTACAATTTTAAGATAGCAAAAAGGCTTGACTGCCCATCAGCCAATCCTTTGGAACCCAAAAATGTTGTTCAGAGTTATCCTTGTTGATTTAACGCAGTTGTCTTTTATTTTCTTCACTTTTAGGAGAGGGTTATTGGAAGGATGGAATTTTTATATTTCATATTTTGATACCAGAAGAGTATAATATAAAGGTGGGTTTATATTAACCCTTTAACTCCCAGATCAAATTTGTCATTCTCCTTACTGTCAACTACACAATTCTTATGTTAGTTCAGAGAATTTAGTATTGGATCAGCTAATTATCCCCAAATTGATAT